AGTGATTGAGAAGGTAAAAGAGATCTGTGATAAAGATTGAGAGGGCACCTTTTCGGTGCTACAACGTGGTTTCAGAGGAGGAACAGTGATTGAAGGCATGCGAGACTGAGGAGAGACAGAGATTGAGAGGGCTGTCACTTCAAGAGGGTGACTGTTTGACTCAAGCTGCTTGCAAGGAAATCCAATTGCTTCAGACAGTAAAAGGTGGGGAAGTTTTAGTGTTTTGGAAATTCGTTAAATTGGGAGTAGCTTCTTGCTATCAAAATAAAAAAAAAATCTTTAATGCACGCATCCAGAAACTGCCAGCAAGTTCCCGGTGCAACAATTTTTACAAATGTGCTCTTTCCCTATTGCTCACACTGCTTGAATTAATTGTTTAAAGGCTTCCTGAAGCCAAAAAGGCTGTAGAAGCCACTGGCAACAGGGCATCCTTTTCAACTAGTTAAAAAGCCGGCTTTTCAGTGCTAACATGCTTGGAATTTCAAAATGTTGCATTACGAAAGTGAACAGATCAGTGTGGGGCGCAACTACGTTTGGCTCCGAGCGCCAATTCATACTTTATGAGGAGGGGAACGACGAGAAAGAGAAGCTACGACTTCCCTGAGTTCCTGCCACCATCTGTTTGGGAGCCGCTCGAGTAATCATTAGTTTCTCGCTAGTACCACACATTAATGGGAGACTTTTACGCATAGGCGAATCCGGGAGGGACTCTTGGTGGTAGGAGTAGAGCCATTTTCGCCCTAGAACTATGCTAAAACTAGAAATAGATTTGTAACACTGCTACTTAGAGTTACTTTAGTTTTATTCCGAACAGCCTCGGGCTTTTGCAGCACTGGCGCCTGTGTCACTGAGGAAGGGAGGAGGCGTTTCAACTCGGCAGCCAAGAAAGCTTCCATGCTGAAGTTTTGCCCGGCCAAGTGCCTCATCCCAGGATTGCCGTAGCAATCCTCACTTACGTCTGGGCCACGAGCACGTGAAAGTTTTGGCAAGAAAATAGCTAACTCGGGAACAAGGGAAGCTGGGCCTGAAATTTTACGGTTTTATTCCCAGCCCCGCTAACAGCTGAAGACATCAAATTCAGCTCCCAGATACGTGTGGTTCTCACGTACAGACCCATGAAATTTTTTGGTACGAAAATTGCTAGTTCAAGAGCCAAAAAAGTTGGAAAGCTGAAATTTTAATGGAATCTTCCCTGTCCAAGTACCACAATTAGCATCCCGAACTTCGAGGACCAGTATGTCACACATTCTACCTACTGACTTCCTGAACGGTCTCATTACAGCACGACATACTGCAAAAACGCATGATCACACGGGCCCGCCCGGTGTGCGTTGCCAATGATTTGACTTTAATACTCAAATCAGAAAGGCTCACTGGCTAACGTCTAATAGGCTACTTGTATTTTTTCTTAAAGAAACGAATGTCAAGATTACCAGAAAGCTGTGCAGGGGGCCAAGCATTATTATTCGAAGCACATACAAAAGTTGTCACCTGCCGAGCTTGAAATCATCTATAAGTTACTTTTGATCAATATATTAATTATATGTATTCAATTTTCTTCAGTAACTGCTATCAAAATCTGCCCTTTTACCTTTATTACAAACGTAAGAGAGTCAGCTCAAAAATAAAATCTATTTTGAAACAGATCGAAGCAGTGGAAATTCGTATTTTCCCTTATAGATTGAGACCTCCTTCTCGTTCCTGTGACTGATGGGTAGGACTGTTCTTTTTTGTATGAGCGATC